TGGAAGGATGGAAGGCTGAGTCAACCTTGAGCCGGTGAGATTTGAACCGCTGAACTGCAGATAGCAGTCAACTGAAGTGGCCTGCAGTACTGCACTCTAACCACTGCGCCACCTCGGCTCTTCTATCTATCTATATAAAAATGACTCTGTGTGTGTGTATTTTCCAGCATAACTCTGGAACGTCTCAAGCAATTTCAAATAAACTTGGCACACAGATGACTTACTCTCTGGGAAAAAAATATTGTGGGGGTAAGACACCCCTAAAACCCCTCAGGGTGTGTGTTTGTTAACATATAGCCTGTGGTGCCTTAAAATGGCTTCTACTGTGCTGCTGTAAAATGGCTTCTACTGTACAGTGCAGCAGAGTTGCCATGGTAACGGCTTCACAGTACTCCACAAGAGGGCTCCCTCTGACAAGAGGGAAAATCCAACATTAGAAATTACGTTTGTTCCTGACATTTTCCCCCTATAATCCTTTGTAATCAGCTAATCCTTTGTAAAATGCTTTCTCTTTGCTTTGCATAAATGAGGGGAGCATTCGTTCAAATTAATGTGAGTTTAGGATGACAGGCGTTTTAATCACTTGTATCAATGAAGATTTTTCATTCCTTTCACATTACCAACTGTTGCAGTTATCTTTAAATGTTGTTCCTTCTTCATGATGCTGGCCGTCTTTGATGCAACCTGTCAACGTAACACATAGAAAAAGGAGGGAATAGTTAGAAAATTGCTGCCACCTTTAGTCATGTCAAGTGGAAGGCTTAATTTTTTGCATCAGCGAGCTGAATTAATAATTCATCCTTGCAGAAAAAGGATGACTTAAAGAAAAGGAATCTCTGTAAAAGGTGTTCAGAAGGATGCCCACCTGTGCAATCCTTGTAATGGAATTCAAGAGTCATTCTACTTTCCATTAACGTTGCTTCTATTTCATTCCTGAAGTACCGTTTTCTGAAAATAACTTTCCCTTCTCTGATTTTATGCTTTGTACTTCTTTTAAAAAGCCAGTTTGGGGTAGTAGTTAGGGCACCCAGCTAGAGACTCGGAGCCCTTGAGTTCCAATCCCACCATAAGTGCAAAGGCAGTTGGATGACCTTGGGCCACTCCAGTGGTGGGATTCAAATAATTTAACAACCGGTTCTCTGCCCTAATGACCAGCTGGGTAGGTGGGGCTCGGTGGTCATGTGACCGGGTGGGTGTGGCCAACTCAACATCACTCAGGTCGATGGGCGCTTCNAAAATAGGGCAGGCGGGCAGTTGGGCCCATCTGATTGCCAGGGTGAACGGGTTCACTCCCAGCTGATCATCAGAGCTACCGGTTCACCCGAACCAATCCGAACCGGTAGAATCCCAGCCCTGCCTTAAGTGATGTTTGCACTTTGAATAGAAAAGAGAGAAAACGGAGTTACCGTGATAGGTCGCATGTCCAGCAGGGCAGCCGATGGGTAAAATGTGCCAAGGCGATAATTGAAACCTTCTTTCAAGCTCATTCCCCAGAACTGACTGTAGTTATCAGCTTTCCACCTGTCTCACAAATAGATAGAATGCATCAGGTATGTACAGTATGTGTATTTTGTATTTGTATGCAAAGGTGTGGCGACTCCTTGGGGGAGGGCCTTCTCTGTAGCTGCTCCAGCCCTGTAGAACGATCTACCCGCAGAGATCCGGACCCTTCCCACTCTCTCGGCCTTCCAAAAGGCCACTAAAACCTGGCTATTCTGGCAGGCCTGGGGCTGCTGACTTCAGGAATGAGGTCCAGCCCCACCCAGATTGAGTGTATGATATATTGCTTTTTAATCTGTTTTCTCTTTCCTTATTTTTAACTTTTTATCTTTTTAGTCTTGTACTTCGTAAGCCGCCCGGAGTCCTTCGGGATTGGGTGGCATATAAATTCATTAAATTTACAATTTACAATTTACAATATGTAGCATTCACAAGAATTAGTATATGATGGCAACAATCCACTTGATACTTTCTCTGTTACTAAAGGGGAAGCTATCTGCATCAGCGTCACATAAATCAAGATGCTTACCCATAGGTCCCACTGTTGATTTGCTCAATTAATTTGGGCTGAACGAGGCACGTTTTATCTGTGCATCTCCAATGACTGTTTACACACTCGCTGAAAGGAAGGGAACAGAGAATAGTTTTTAATGGGGAAAAACAAAATTATGGAGAACCAAACACTGTAGATGAAACAGGTAGATGGTTCTCAAGTGATCTGCTTGTGAAATTTTCATGCTCACAAAGCGATAGCAGCAGCACTTGGAATTATATAGCATTTCACAGGGTTCCACCACAAAACCGCGCTCGACTAAACCGCGCCCGACTAAACCGCGTCGCTGACGTCATCAACAGGGCGACAACAG